TCCAATGGCAGATTGAGAGCGACCGCCGATCAGGGATCGCTCCATAGAGCAAGAATGTTCCACCGAAATCGGCGGATTTGACCGGAAGTTCAATTGGCGTATTCTGCGCACCCTCCTTTCATCCAACCACCGATGGATGTCCGGAAAGCGCTTTGCACTCTCTCGGACCTTCTCGTGCATCCTGGCTATAGACTTCCGCTCACCAAGAGCTCCCGCCGAGACGCGCCTGTTCCAATCGCGGATTTGGCGAGAGCGATCCCGCTCGGATCTGCGCGCTTCGTTAGTAATCCGGTCCAGCGCTCGCGATCTGCCATTGCAATTCAGCAATATTGTATGATTTTTAGCAATCATTCTAGCTCTGCGTACACTATAGCAGCATTAATAGGCTCAGCAACAATTTTGACGGATTCGCTATCGGCATGTTCGGCCCTCACTGCAATGAGGATTCGGATGCCTTGAATGCTTCCAAATCATTAGTTCTACTGCACATAAACTCAGTAAATTTAGTGTGGGCTTCGGGGCATAATGGCCTCATATTATGAATGAAATGGTAGATGCTCCAACTACGATCATTTTTGAAAAGCCCAGTGATTCAGGTTTTGACGGCATCCCAATTTATTAAAGGTGCAAGATTTAAGAGAAAATGATGTGAGATGAATTCGCCGCGCCATCATTAACGATCATTTTCGATTTACAGCATTTCGATCATCAGTAGGGCTTGAAGCTGGACGCCATAGGCGGCCGAGGGAAGGGCGAGTTCATTTCCGCCTCTATAAGGTAAGGCCGCAAACGGCTCTACTAGCGTACAAATATGCGCTGCAGTGGAAATTATTAGACGTGCTCCTCTCCCGCGTTCGGCATAGCTTGCCTCCTCATGCGCACCGGCCAGCGGGCGGTACTGGAGGGGGGGGGGGGGAGCAATTCAATGAATCAAAAAGCGGAAATCGATTCTGTACATATAATTGATTAATCATGTACAATTAAATAGAGTAATCGTTAATTGGTGTTACGATCCCCAAGTTTTTAGGGCAAAGTCTCGGCATAACCATGAATGCTCGATCCTATGGGTATTTTATAAGATCAAGTGAGTTGTCGAAACAACCAAAGCGACATTCGAATCAGCGAACAAGCTGCGTGATCATGTGTGGATATTATCCAAAATGAAGCATGCGCATGCAGGAAACATGCATGGTCGAAGTGAGCATAAAATATTTGTGTGTGTGTGTGTGTGTGTGTGTGTGTGTGTGTGTGTGTGTGTGTGTGTGTGTGTGTGTGTGTGTGTGTGTGTGTGTGTGTGTGTGTGTGTGTGTGTGTGTGTGTGTGTGTGTGTGTGTGTGTGTGTGTGTGTCATTATGCTTTCAAAGGGAGCTGTAAAAAAGATCCAAGGTTGCACTGAAATTACGATGCTGTTATCATCCTATGAAAACCTCGGCAAAGTGAAACTCTTATAAAACTGAACACTGCGCATTGGAATGGTGCCAGCGATTCAATCGGGCAGACGTGAAGTTTATGCTCTTCATACTGATCTCCTAATAAATTTAAAGCCGCACCGCTGCCTGGCATCCAAGCAGTCGAAAATCTGTGCGCTAATGGTGTGCTATATACAAACGCACGCGAAAGCGAGGTGGTGGTTTGCCGACAGCTCCGAGAAGAAACGACTGCCGCTGCAAATGCGCTTTTTACCGGTAGCATACGCCGTCACCGCTGTTCACCATCGACACGCACAAAGCACTTGCTCAAAGACATCGTCTGGTCGTCGATGGATGGCTCTCGGTTCTGGTGCGATTTACACCGTGAAAACATTTTAAACCTTTGGAGCAAGTCGCAGGTGAGGCTGCACCAAGGAGGATATATCCTTGGTGCAGCCTCACCTGCGACTTGCTGGGACACCTGCGACACCAAGGAGGATATATCCTTGATATATCCAAGGATATATCCATGGGATATATCCTTGGAGGATATATCCAAGGAGGATATTTTATATCCTCCTTGGGCTGCACGGGCGCTGAGAGAGCGAAGTCAGAGGCGGGACCGGGGTTGCCGGGGTGACGAGCGAGCGATTTTTGCTAAAAAAAGGAGGCGAAACGCGCGCACCGCAGCGTTTCAACATGCATATCGATTCCTTATCGAACGTGTGGCCTCCAATAGCGCCACAAGATCTCAGAGGCTACGCCCGGCCGATGACGGCAACTGTGACGACACGACTGTCAGCCATCGGCTTCGGCCAACGCTTCGGTAGGCTTCGGCACCGTCTCTGGCTCTGCCAACTGCTTTCAACCCACGACCTACTGTATTTTACTGACCTGCCCAGCGAGCGAAGCGCCAGCACGCCCTTTCTGGAACTGGCGCCTGCCGCTATGTGCCCTGTGGCGCTACAACTTACCCCATCCGCACCGGTTGCTGACGGCCAAAACACAGGCCGCGGCGCTTTTTTTTTTTTTTTTTGTCATCTGCTCGCGCGACACCAGAAGAAAAGCATCAATGTTTACGCGTGCGTACACTCTGGACGATTGAAAAAGAAATGAATTAAAGCCTCTTTTTGAATAAACTTAAAAGTATAATGACGATCTTTTGCTACCGTCTGCTCGTTCCGAGCTGTGATAGAAGCGTGCAGGTAGAAGAATCTAGTAATGTTGGTTTGTACACCAGCGAAGTGAGGTTTCTTGGTGCAAATGAACCATCACGATGGTGGTGTGCTGCGTGCATTTCTGCGAATCAAGGCAAGGAAGACTCCCGATGTGACTTTTCATGAGTTTCCAGTGACCGAGATGGGTGAAAAATGAATCAAGGTGATTTCTAGAAAGGGTAAGTCTGCTCAATTAGGCATTGTCGGGCATGCTGAAAATGTAATGTGTTGTAAATGACTACGTGTCGTTAAAGGGTGAGTTTCTGGGCTAGTTGGTGGTGCATGACAGTCCGAGATGCATATTAGCGCAAAAAAAAAAAAATAAACCGACAACCTCAAGAAAGTAAATGACGACGTGGTATACTCACAACTGTTTATTAGCAAAAACAAAAGAGAAAAGATGACAAGACTGCACATTTGAAAACCATCTCACTATATGTGGTTATGTAACTAGGTTTTCAAAGACACCCATATTGTGGGAAGAAGCAGCTTCTTCGAGATTGCTTTGGTAGTTTAGTTACATTACCAAAAAGAGCAGAAATCGTTGCATAAGTGAATATTTATCCTCTGTCGCTTAATTAGTTCGATCTCGAACTTGAATCTATGTGCTACCGCGTCTGATATAAACGTGTTAGTTTACCCGTCTACGCGAATGCATGACAAAAGGACATATACGTGAAAACTTTTATCCTAATGAAAAGTTGTGAGTGGCGTGTGTCCTTGTATTCTTTCTTGTGGTCATACGTTTTATTTAGTGCTAATGTATCTCAGCCAGTTACGTGTGTCACATGATTAACGAGGTGAAGTCATACGCTCACTTCATAACTGTGTTTTATTCACTTCACCACCATGGTATAAACTTCTAATTGCATGATATACTCCTTAGAAAAGAACAAGAAATTTTGTATTTTATCCACAATATTTCACTGAATGTTCATCTTCTTTCTTTCAAGGTGCTGGCAATGAAGTTTGGCTCCCAAATGACTGGTCGAAGGTGTGCAGTGTGCAATTTGCTCCGACCGATTATAGGCCGGGACTAAAAATAAAAAGACTGAAAGCATATGCTGTGCCGTCCGTGTTTCCACACTACCCAATGTACATGGCGCCGCCTGTGGCAAAAGTCTGCCGCACCTTGAAACGTTCAAATGTTCAGGAACATGAACCCTGCCCAAAGAAAAAAAAAAGTAACTAACAATGTTCATGCTTGACGTCTCCCCACGGCTCTTGCATACAAATTGGACCAATGAAAACGAATTTCAAGGAAAGGCGTATAACAGAATGCATTTTTTACTGCAGGAAGAAAACAGGTTCAGCCCCAGCGCAGCAGAGCTTGACATCGAGCGACATATGTCATCAGTACCATCCATAAACACAACTGCTGGACCATCCTCAGACTTTATGCACCCTCTCACCAAATTTGAATGCACAGAACCACCTGAAACTGCACCTGGCGACAAAGTAAAAAAAAAAAAAAAAAGACCGACGCTCCTTGACCACGCAAACAACTATAACCAGCCAGAAGATGTGCCGTGTGATGACTTCCGCAAAATCATCGCGCCGGAAAGGCCAAACCATGGCAAGAAATAATGCTGAATTAAAAGCGCAAATAGTCAAGCTGAATTATGGAGTTGCAGAGGTTAAGCTGCTCTCCAAATGAGCAAACGCTGCAGTCTTGCAGGTAAAGTTGTTTGCTGCTGGTGTTTGCGGTTGGTGCTGTTTCGTTTCAAAACAGTTGCAGAGTGTTTTTTATTGATTATTTATGTACCTGCGATCTACATTTGCCATTTGAGACGAAGGTATTTATGCGCAAAATTACCTGTATTGGGTTGTTTTCTATGCGCGCTGAATGCCGCGGCCACTGTCAAATGTCATAGTCCTTGCCCTTTCTTGTCCAGACAGTAAATTCAATCCAGCTGAGTGTACGGCAACAAGTCTACCATTGTATACACGTGTAGCCGGTATCATGAGTTAAATAAACATTTGGTGGGCCAGCACTTTTTACAACCTGTCTCTGTCATCATTCTTTCTTGTTTTGCACGCTGATACATGTGTTTGTGCGTTTGTATCTGATTTGCGGTTCTTTTTAAAAATAACGCACTGAAATGTCAACTAAAATGCAAAAGAAGATTCTCAAAGTTACATGAAATAAAATTATTCAGGATACCCGCCATATTTACTCGCGTGATGAAGCTCTTCTCGAACCGTCGGTAACCCATGCATTTCCATGCATTCACCAACCCTCAGCTGGGGTAACTCGAGCGCCCCCCCTAGGCGGTGAAGTTTAGCATTCGAGCCGGCACGGAGCGCAGGCAGCTCCGTAGACCGCCCCCAGCTGGGCAGGTCAGGAGTACAGTAGGTCGTGTTCCAACCACAATCAACCATGTGACAACGGTAGCTAGGTGTTTGGTCCGCGCACATTGGTTCACAGGGTTCACATGTGTTATCTTATCTGAGTCGTGCATGTGTGTTTCGATGTGTGGCACAGCGAACGTTTTTAAGTGATTACATGTGGAGCGCATCAAACCGCTTGTCAGATGGAGGCTGGCGACAACCGAAGCACCGTTGTGATAGGTTTCTTGAGCTCACCCTTTGCTCGCCTACACTACTGCTGAGCACCGGTTAGTTTTAGCAACATGAATGCTGAATGTGAACCGACGCTTGCGGTGGATTCCGTGTTAAGAAGGTCAGGAGAGCTGCCAGTCAAAGAAAAAATAGAAGTTAAAGGCTACGATTTCAACGATGGCATCGACTACGCTCGCATTCTTGAAAGCTACAAGTGCTCTGGCTTTCAGGCGACACATTTTGACCGCGCTGTCAACGAAATCAACCGCATGGTACGGTGGGCTGTTTTTCCGCGTTTTTTAAGGCTGAGTTGCATGCGTGAGTTACTTTTGTGTATTTGCTGAGTACTCATTGTCAGAGTTTACCTGGCTAATTTTGGTGTTTTATCTCATTTCTGTTCGCGCAGCTGGAATGCAGATCTGTGCCTCTTGGGAAGGATCAGCTTGACCAGCACGAAACCGATGAGTTCATTCGTAGAAAATACGGCTGCACAATTTTTTTGGGTTACACCTCGAATATGGCGTCTGCAGGTGTCAGAGACGTCATCAGATTTATTGTGGAGCACAAGATGGTAATATTACATAATAATGATGCTTGTGTGTGTGTGTGTGTGTGTGTGTGTGTGTGTGTGTGTGTGTGTGTGTGTGTGTTTATTTTAAGTGCATTTGTGTCTGAAGATTGAAACTTGTGTGTACTTCATTTTCAGGTTGATTGCATAGTAACAACTGCGGGTGGTGTCGAAGAGGACCTAATTAAGTGTCTTGCACCTACCTATGTGGGAGACTTCAGTTTGAAAGGAAGCTCACTCCGTGATTTAGGCATCAATCGCATAGGGAATTTGCTGGCTCCAAATGACAATTATTGCCTTTTTGAGAATTGGGTGATTCCAATTTTTAACAAGATGCTTGAAGAGCAGCGCATGCATGGTACTATCTGGTCACCATCAAAAATGATAGAAATGTTTGGGAATGAAATCAATGACCAAAGGTCTATTTATTACTGGGCTGCAAAGAACAAGATTCCTGTATTCTGTCCAGCACTAACAGATGGCTCTCTTGGTGATATGATCTACTTTCATTCATACCGAAATCCTGGTTTAATTGTAGACATAGCTCAAGACATTCGTCGAATTAATTCAATTGCAGTGAAAGCAGTGCGGTCTGGTATGGTGATTGTGGGGGGTGGACTTGTAAAGCACCACATCTGCAACTCAAACATGATGCGCAATGGTGCAGATTTTGCAGTGTATCTCAACACAGGTGCAGAGTTTGATGGCAGCGATTCAGGGGCAACACCTGATGAAGCGGTGTCATGGGGAAAAATCCGCCAAGATGCTCGTCCTGTAAAAATTTGTGCAGATGCCACGCTTGTGTTTCCTCTCCTTGTTGCACAAACGTTTGCCACGTGGCATTTCCAGAACAAGCAAATGGTAAATGGTGACAAAGGAAACATGCTATGAAGGCTGTTGTGAGCCTCCAAATTGTACCTTTTACAATTTGTTTTTGTCTGGTTGCTACTTAGCTATTGATGTTGTGCATGAGAGGTCTGAATATCTAATGCTTTTTATTGTTTAGAAAATTTTTAAGTATAAAGCCCCTAGCTTATATAGCATTTCTCTATAATGAAAAGCCAAAACGATTACTGGAAAAAAAATATTTTAGGTGTTTTGCTGCAATCAGAATTGTGTGAGCAGATGCTGGGAACTTGCATATTGCAAGAAATGTGATGACCAGCATCGTGAGTAGAAATTTTAGAAAATTGTGCGCTATGTGTAAAGAAAGGAATGTTGTGTAGCCATTTTAATGAGTGTCATAAGTGCAGTTATTGCAAATAGAATGATTCATGCATAAAGCATTTCTTCTATGGCCTATTATAATTGGACTCGTGCCTACTTGTATAATAGTATCAGTGATCATGTTATTGAGGCCTAGTTATGCTTTGTGTTAATACATCTTTAAATATTAAACTGCCTATTAATGTGTTATGCTCAAGCCCTATGCTAGTTAATGAGAGGTATTCGAACAAGAATCCATAGAAAATTTTGTAATAGGCTTGACTTTGTATTGTTGATGTTCTAATACGATTTTATAGTAAAATCAATAATTGTATGGTGTAACTGTCAGTTCAAGTTTCTTGCCTGCACATGCATGCGTTGTTTTTTGATTGCCTGTTTATATATTCTTTCTTTTCTAATAAATAGTTTAGTTGCGAGAAAGCGCTTGTCCTCTCTTCCTTTCTGTTTATTCGTGCGCTTGAACTGACAGTTATACCATGCATATCCAACCAGCCCAACTTTCGATTCTGTTGCAATTCATAATAATTGTATTTACGTGACGAGTATTAGTTGAACGAGTTTTAGGGAAGGCTGTCCATCTGGAAGTGTAGAATTGCTGACGAGTGCATTCTTTAGAACCAGCATTGTTATATTTAATGCTGCATTGTTGATGCAGTATTCAATTTATTATTAGAAATGTAGATAATACATGGTAGATTGAATTGTCAGTTGTAAAAAGGTATTTAGCTTGCCTTTTTTAGCAAAGTTTCTTGGCTGTCTGATATCTTATTACTCTTTACTTCAGGTTCTAGAGTGATTAGATTTGCTTATGAAGGTTTTCTTAACTTATTCCCAGTAAAATATGATAGTAAAGACTGCATTAGTGAATTTTCAAATGTTGGCACAATCTTGATACTGTTCCTACTGCCAATTTGTTGTTTTAGCATGCTGTGTGCAGCGTGACCAGGAATGTACTGTAGTGGCAGTACATGAATGTACTGCAGTGGCAGAATGTACTGCATGGCAATTAATTCCTGAAAAATAATTTGCATTATTTTTGGAAACTTCACAAGCAGTGGCCAGAGATACTTGAAAGTAAAAAAAAAGGAAATCGTGTCCATAATATAAGCAAAATGGTCTGCAGCTGGTTTTTTTTTTTTTTTTTTGCTGCGTTTCTGTACGTGCTTCCCACAAATGACGAAAGCAAAGGGAAGAGTTGAGCTTTTTTCTGTGTGCAGAGAAGTCTTCTTGCACAAAACCTTACTTTCTCTCCTAAAATTGGCGACATGGTGGTCTGGCCACGAGCACTGTAGAAAATCACTTTTTGCACATGTACACGCATAAAAAGTGTCAAAACTGAGAGTATGTTCTGTGGGTAAGGCATTCTGCAAGGTTTGTTTTCCAACAAAGAATTATAGTTCACAGATTGCTTTTATTTCTCAAAGCACATTCTCCTCTTTCCATTCCCGTGAAGATACTCAGCACCACAAATCATTTTCAGAAATCTACAGGGATGTAATTCTCTACGCGTGGTCATTAGCCAACCATTGTGGCATAGGAATAAAAAGGCTGATGTGAAACGTAGGCAGAAATGTTGAACAGGAAGAACAGGTCATTCTGCTAACTACAAAAAATAGGCAAAAAAAAAAGACAAGAACACTGAAGGCACACGCTGTGCTTGTGCGTGTGCCTTCTGTGTTCTTGTCTGTTTCACGCAGTTTTTCTAGTTATGAATTACCAACTCGCCCAGTGTTCAGTCGTCATTCTGCTAGTCTTGTCGAGGTTATTTCGACGGAAAATATTTCTGCTTGTGCGTGCATAGTTGGAGTTATCAAAAGGCTTTGCTGTGCTCATTCACTTTCATTGTGAAGAGTGCGAAAAACAGTCGCATTTGGAGTGCGAAAAACAGTCTGTGAACAAGATTTTTGTTTTGCAAACAAACCTTGCAGAAAAGCCTACTTGCACATTTTATGCAAGTTGCCTGTTTAAGGTGGAACGCATTATAAGTGTGCAAAGTAGAGGATATGCATTCAAAAATATAGATGTCCTCATTACACGTCTTAAAGTTCGGTTCTTGTTAATTTTTAATACAGCTTTATCAAAACTTGTGCTTGTTGCTGCATCACTTCGTGAAGTAGCATGGTACTCAAGGATCGAAACACAAAAATTTAATGCTAAGTAATGCTCATGCTTTTATTTCCAGTGACTGTGTCGTGATGGCGTAATTTTGACTAAAACGCGTGCATCAGAGCGAACATATTCTTTAGCGGCCAGATTTTCACTGACATGATATGGTTTTCTTGAGCACTAGCTGTTGTAAATTAAAAAAAAAAAAGAACTATGTCGCATATTAGACTGCGGGTACTTTGCATCCAAAACATGCTTGTCGACAGTATCGGTGGCACAGCCAGGGGGTGGCACACTGGGCCCACGCCTTCCCCCGACATTTTTTACACCATAGCATACCGAGCGAAACATTACCATTAAAAAGGGATACCCTCCCCCCTGAAAAAAAATTTCTGCCTGCACTCCCGGACAGTATATATAATTTAGAAAGGAGCCCTGCAAATTATATCTCGAATTCTGCCACAAAAAGCACAAATAACCTGTTTCAACTTGATATGTGGGGTTCAACGCCCTAAAACCGCCATATGATCATGAGAGACGCAACCTGCTTGAATTTCTAGATATACTTAACATCTACAGCTTTATTCAATACAGATTGCCTTTTTAGTGTATTTAGCACCAACAAATTACAATTAAGTGCAGTGTGCCTTATCTGCTCTTCTCTATACCACTGGTTTCTTCGCTCAAAATACTTTTGTCTGTTTTTTTTTCTTTTTTGTCTTGCATTATTTTGATTATTTGTACAGAACTACTCAGCCCGCCTAATTTATGCTGCCGAGGAGAGCTACAGCTTAGGTGGGATGGTGAAATAAAGAAAGAAATCTGAAGAAATGTAATGAAATTAGCTCATTTAGCAGAGGGCAGATTTGATATAATTAGGAGTCTTTTGTCCTTATATATCAATTCTATAACCAATGATGACTATGTCACTTCTTATGCTGCTGTTTGTTGTCCTATGACATGTTTTGTTGGGTCTTTCTGACAACATTGTTGGGACATGAAAAATTATTTGTTTTGCATTAAATATCCTTTTCACTGCCAAACTGATAGGTCAAACCAAAGATTAAGGTTTGGTACTAAAGCTTGACTTTTCCATGCTGTATAAGTTTACAATTGCAAGCACATCCATCTAAATGCCTAACTCTGGTCATTGAAGCATGCATTACCCATAAAATCTTTGCACTTGCTGGCACAAGCACGTGGGCTTGCTGGTTAGTAGTGGGTGCTATGCCTTGACATTTTAAAAGGCGGGCTTACATCCTTCTGTGAAATGTTTTTGGGTGAAGGCAAATTAATCTGAGACAGTGGTTGCTTCCAAGAAATATATGCTTAGATATGCATTTGCATCTAAGCGACTCACCTCGCTTTAGTGAAAATGTTTACAGTGATGGCTGTGCATGCTGCAGTATTGTGAGGCAAAACTTTGAGGTGGAATGAGCAGAGTTAACTAAAATGGTACATTTGGACCAGTGGCATAGCCAGCTTTTGTTCTTGGAGACTGACGGTGTTCGGCCTGTGAATGCGTGTCTTCATTCAAGTGTGTATGTAGCCATATAAACAGCAAAATTGTGGAGGTGTTCAAACCCCAGGTTCATCTCTGCCAATGCCTGAGTGGAACCCTAGTGATGTCAGTGGGACTGGAATCTTAGTACACTTGTTACAGCCATAATGGAACACTTTACGTTCCTGTGACTGTGTACAGTTGGTTAAGAAGAGTGCAAATTTCTTCCTTACTGATGCACACATTACACATCTTTCACTTTTTTGCATTTAATCTTATGAGCAAAGAGGCACGGCTGCTGACTTCATAGATGTGCTTCTGTGTTTTCACAAGAGGCAAACCCCTCCAACATAATGGCTGTTGCAATATGATTTACATAAGCACTGTACAGCCTCACAAAGATTCTTCCAAGGCTTACCACAATGCTGTTTTCTTTATTTATCTATTTGGAAGGTTGACCTCAGGCATAAAATATCTCCAAAATAATTATGCACAAGAGGCATGTCACATGGACAAACACGTTTAATTCAGGCATGAAGTCTAGCAAGGATCTGTGGAACAGTCCGTGTGTTCTAACCACCCTTGTCGACAGGGAGGGCAACTATGCTGATATATAATCTGGTCTTTAAGGTGAGGGTGCACTTTTGTGTATCCTATCTCAGCAAGTAGATTGAAAGAAATGAGGTGCTGGCATCTTTAAATGAAATCGTGCATTCAAACCTTGTTGGATGGTGTTGATTCTCATTGCCAAAAAAAATGTGTTTTCCTTCATAGTTAAAACTATTAATATAGTTCAGGATCTAGGTAGCCAAAAAAAAAAAAGAAATGCAAGTAATGAATGCTGTTAAAGGGCTGCTAAATAGAAAGGATAAATTGATCAGTATAGTAATTGCCTTAAAAAAAAATACCTGCTCTAAATCAAAAAATCTGGTAAGTCAGGAATTATGCAATAATGGTGGTAGTACTGCCTTAGGAATTTCTGTACAAGCCACCCATAAGGTATTGAAATTATATCTTTTCAATATAAACTGATCTGGTCTTTATCTTTTCCATTGACGGTGTTGGCTTTGAAAGCACCAGGTGTGATTGGGCTCAACCACTGGTGCACTGATCTAAAAAAAATTGTGCAACAGGCTGGACTGTACAACACATTCAGTGAGAAAGTTGATAGAGCTCAAGCAGCAAACATAAACTGATGTGACTAACAGTCTAACAGTAATGTCTCATATTTATGAAGGATGCATCATAATTGAGCCCTAATACTTCCTGTAAATAAATTTGTTTAGGTTGCCAAAAAGCATTGTTCACTTATTTACTCTAGCTCAATTTGCATTGATCTTCATGATCTATTCTGCATTTTGAGAGAACAGTGTTAAGTGTCCTAGTAGCATCAACTGAAAATGTTCAGAGAAGTTCAGTTAGCCAAACAAACTCATCGCAGTTCTTAGAGATTAATAGGAATAGAAGTATGAGGGTTCCCTTGGAGGATGAAACCATGAATACATCACGTTATTGGGCTGCATAAAACATGGGCACCATTTTTCAGTGTGCTCCAGACTATGCATCAGTATTTTCTAACAATGGAATTCCTTGTTGAATAGATAAATGCCATGCCACGTAGCAGGTTAGAAAACAAAGGCAGCGGTAATTTTTGCAAGAGTTTGTTTCTGCGATAAGATAGCAATGGCGCTATACTCTGTGTCACACATCATGTGCAACGTTGTGTAAGCTAGCGAGACTTCTTGCAGTTGATGCGTCCGCAACAAAAAGTAAGTAGATGTTATTGCTTCCAAAAATTGAATTTTTCTTTCATTATTAGGATGAGAAGTAATAGAAGATATTATGTGCCTTACGAACAAAAACGTCGATGAATGTCTGTTATAATGTGGCTGTATAGCTTGTTTTCCCGTGACGTCACATTCAGGCTTTCTACTCTGGGTACGTCATGATGGCGGCCACCAGGACTTTCAGTGTCAGTGCAGAATAGGACACCACAGGGTCATTCGGTACCCTCGTTCTTTTGTGCCTTCCCCGCTTTTTTCTGTTCGCCAGTCGCGCCAAAGGGGAGCACAAAGGCCAGGGTGCACCGGCACTAATGAGATTTAACCTGAGCGACCACGAAACACACGGTGTTATACGTTTTGCTGACCAAACTTCTTGCATAGCTTTCACAGCGTTGCACCCGATACTCACGGAACACCGACAGAACGACTGACAGGGCATCATGCTGCACTACATATTGCACTGGGAAGCTGATGACGCTGGTGCGGCTTTGTGCAAAGCATTCAAAATGAGGAGAGAAAAAAAGATTGCTGAACAGGTTACTGGCTGCAAGCTTTTTAGCAAACAATATTTAAGAACTGTTTTTGGCTTTTGGAATGGTGCATAACTGAACGGGCAGCATTATGCCCATAAGAAAATAAATAGAAGAAAACTGCGATTTCCCTTCTTTTCCGGTTTTCTTAGCTGAGCATCCTGTTATTGTTTCCTGAAAGAATGGCGACACCAGCTAAACAAAGTGCAATTTTTAAGCTATTCGTATTGAGAACAGTTTTCTAAAATGCCTCTATTTGCATTTATAAACTAGTTAACTTTAACATTAGTGGTGAATACATAGTAACATTTTAACTAGTTAACATTAACATTAGTGGTGAATACATAGTAACATTTTAATAAATGACCCACAATAGCTTGTAATTATAATCGTGCACAACCAAAGCGCCATCGTCAAAGGGCACCATTTCTCACCACCAAATGAATTTCCTATCTTGAAAGGCTCCTCACCATAGTTGAGCATTCAAAATAAATGAATGCGACATATACCAATTTTCTCAGGGGGATTGATGTCTACGAAATATTAAGTACCTGAAAGGAAGTAGTTAGAACTTAAAAACAGGAAGTGTGCCCTTTCTTTTGAAGGAACCACACTTCAAGAAAGAGTGGAAGTTGCACACACATGCCCATGCAGCAAGCACCCTTTGGAACATCACTGACCAGGACATGTAACTTCTTAACTTCTTCATCCACTGCTCGGCATGTGATTTTGCTGCATGTGAAATTCATGCAGCAAAATGGGAAGGCAAATTGCAGAAACTTAGCCTATGCAAAGAGATTTTGTTGGTTTCGACACTAGAAACTCACCAACTTGAGGTACGGTACGGTTGCATGTCTTTTACTTTGTTCTTTAATCAAGATAATGAACGTATTTGAAAATTTATTTCTGTAAAACATTCCCTAAATGTTGTCTAGAGCTTCTATTGTGTTACCTAAGTTTGCTAGCAAGTCTGAAGAGGGGCCTCTTAAAAGCCAAGGCTTTGGCAAATTATAATTTCAGCTGCAGTGGTACGATTTTACGCATCATGACATGTTCCTGAATTTGCTTGATCACACAAAGCACATGGTTCATGCAAAATGTGCCTCTGTGTGCATGCTTTTAAAAGATTTTGAATGAAAATTCAAAATGACTCTGAAGCTGA